CTTATTTTAGCAAAATAATCAAATTTTTGTAGAACATAATATATTGTTTATATGGAATATAAAATCAATTATTTGTACAAGTTTATTTAAAATATTCCTTTTTTCTTTTCATTCATTACTTCACATATTTACTTATCTAAATCACTTTTCCCTCACGTCCACCGATCCTTTTTTAATCGCTTATTACAAACAATATGGAAATGAAGATACTGTAAAACACGGCATGAAAAGTTTAATTATTGGATAATATGTTATTTAAAAGACAAATGAAAACACATTGCAAGATAACATGCTAATTAACATGTGAGATCACCAAAGCAGAAATGCAATACTTGTATCACTAATTAAATAATTAATCACAAGATTCTTTCAATAGGCGTTGCAAGCGAGCAGTTCAGGGATGTTAGAGTCATTGATCTTGAACGCATATTCATCTCTNAATGAACTAGTATAAAATTTATGCATTCATGCTGCTGTCTATTACACGTCTGGATTTGCTCTTGACAGTAAGGTAATGAAAACATTTTGAATAAATTTATACAGAATCAGATGACCTCCATACATCGTCTAATGGACTGTTCTGCAAAAAGTTTACTGAAGTATTGTTAAAGCTCTATCCAAACCTATCTCGTTTTATAGAGCTAGCTTTGTCTTTCACTCAAGTCAATGAGAAATCTCCAAAACTACAAATAGTTGAAAGAACACAACGTTGAGCTCACTAATCTAATATCAAACAGGATACGTTAAAAGTCTGATCAAGGTAGATAGATATACGCTGAAGTTGTGACCTACAAACGGCTATAAACCAGTTCACTTCATACTTGTAATTGTAGCTACATCTTGCTTCAGGAAACGAAGCTATCACTAACAGTAATGAAAGAGAATTATGAAGTAAGATATACCTTTTCTTCAGAGGTACTCTTGAGAAAACACAGAAATGCCTCTGAGAACTGAGAGCCACAGGAACCAGTTCGCAAATCAGCAATGCAGGGGCATTCGAGAGCTTTCTGAGCCATTGCCTCGATGGACTGAAAAATCCAGAATTTTCTATTGTTTTCATTCATTCACTCAATTTCACAGTTGAAAGCAAATAACCAAAGCAAGTTAGTGCAAACCTCAGTATGTTGACTTCCATATTCTGCAGCTTCTGCAATGTTAAAATAAAAACACGACACAAATTGAGATTTCGTTTCAGCCGCACATTTACACAAACAGTTGAAGTACGCGAGGAATGAAACACGGAAAAACAACCTGCGAGCGCGGATTCCAAGGAAGTTGGTTTGGAGGTGTCGGTGGTGATGATGGTGGTTTGAGTCTCCGCCGCAGCTTCTGCGCTTTCAATTTGACCCATCGTGAATCCTAATTTCTGAACCTCTGGTTTTCTGGTGCGTTAAAAATTCAAACTTTGAAGCCAATTCTGAATTGGTATCTCCTCTCTACACGGAAAGTGAAATTCTGAGATTGCTTTTCTATAAACTTAATTGTAATTAGTTATAGTCTTCTATGAAATTGTACTTATATAAATGAATAATTAGCATTTTAAACAATTAACATCAACTATAAATAGTTTATCATTAATTTACGAGAGAGTAAAATCATGAAAGCAACTTAATCATAAAAATGATAAAAGGAACTTAAGAATTAAAAAAATAATAATTCAAATTAACATATTGAAAAATTAAACAGTTCACCAACATGAAGAAATGCATTTCATTTCTCAAAGTAAGTTTAAATATCCTTCATCTCAATATGTAAGTGATCATTTTGGTCTATAAAATTGATTAAGTTTTAAATATATAAAAAGCGTGACAATTGCATATAAAATTAGTAGAGTCGTTTTGTTATTAATGTTTAAAATCAATTTGATACTAAGTTGTATTCCTTTATATATAATATAATAGTACAAAATTTAGGGATTAATTTGTCATTAAATATATAATAAAACATAAGTATTGTATTTCTTTTTTCTTACATGCTAAAAACTAAATCAGACTTTTGGCTCTTTCCCTACATTACCGTTGTTTATTTATCAATTAATCATTTCCCCAATCAACAATTTAAATTTAAATTGTGGAATGTTGGTAAAGGAATGGGGAGCAGGGTAAAATTTAGAGAAACCTATAAAAAAGTGATTTTCAGAAACGCGTTATACACGTTTGGAATAAAAACTTTTCAATCTACATGTTCCAAGACAAAATCTAGCATTTCAGGATGTCAGTATTATTAAATTAAGTTAAAAAAATGATTGCTTATACTATCATGGAATAATAAAAAATAAAAATAAAATATTTTATTGTGAAAATAATTAAATTCATGCAAAAAATAATAATTAATTAAATTACAATTTATAATATTACAAAAATATAAACATAATCTTTTTTACTTTTCTAAAAGATTTCAAAAAAAATTCATACTGCTTTTTCACAAATATATCTTACTATACTATACCACTTGTTCATCACAAATGATTAGTTTGAGTCATTATTTCCCCGCATCACGCGATTAAAGAGATCTTTTTCCAAATCCTCGCACACATACCACCAACAATAAGAAATACATTCATGTTTAAATATCACAACAACCAACCAAAAACATAGCCAACAACACCTATTATTCAATAATAATCACAAACAACTCAATCAAACAATACACATACAAAAGAAAACAAGAAAACAAAAATCAAGAAATAAAAAAAAATAAAGAATGTAAGTTCTCCCTTACAACATCGTCATAAATTGATTAATGCATTCAGAACAATACCAAAACAAACAACAATTTTACTCAATTATTCATGTATAGATACAAATAAGACAAGAAAAGAAAAAAAGAAAACAAAAAATTAAGAATATAAACTCTCTTTACTTAGATTTTCTGCTAAGATTTTTTTCCTAGAATAAACAATGTCTTTCAAGAACACCCTAAGCTCTAAGAGGCTTTCACTCAATCAAACTCTCACTTTCACTTTTACCCTCAAAGTTTTTGTCTCTTCCTAATGGTCACGTGTTTAATATAGTACCAACTATATGAGACTAATTTTTCTTCAATATACACATAGGATATTCTATTTATAATAAAATAAATGAGTTAAGTCCAAGATACCAATAAAGAATAATAAGAAACTAACTAAAGATAAAAGATAAAAATAAGATATATGTCTAAGATATCTAATAATAATCCATCTAACAGAAGACATATCTAACCCAATTAGATTTATTTTATAAAAACAAGCTCATTATTTTCATAATATAATAAAATTAATTCTAATAAATCTCTAGATAATATATTTTATCTTAATATTTTTATTCTAATTGGTTATGATAAGGTCTTAAATAATACATTTTATTTTCTTATTATTATCTAATAATAATATCTAATAATATGATATCTCAAAATATTTTTTAATTTGTAAATATATCGAGTATATAATAATATCTAAGAATATCTTTTAAAATATCTAATAATATATCTAATAATATATGATAGTAATTTTTCTTCACCAAACCTTAATTTTTAGAAAATCCTTTAAAATAAATCCTTTAAATAAAAATAACAAACTATTTTATCTTTTATTTAAAATAGTTAATCACATTTATATATTTTTCTAATTATTAAAATGTATAGAATCCCAGACCCTATAAAAACAAATTTCATCTCCTAAAATATACAAAAAAATGAAAATATCTTATTCTTATATTTTCATATGATAAAACCTAACAGAAATACTTAAAATTATAATAAACAACTCTAACCAACTGAAGTACTGTTCACTCTTATAATAATTATATTTTCTTATTTTAAATAAAAATTCTTATAACTATAATAATTTTCAAATATTTAATTTTCCTTAAGTCTTACACAAAACATTATTTAAAGATTCCATTTAAAAAAAAATGCAAGATGCGTAGTTTATTTAATCAGGCATATTTAAATTTCATACGATTTTAGTACCTGTTTGTATATTTATTTTATAATAATAATTTTACAGATTTAAATGTATTTATCAAACTGTGCAATTTTGACTCAAGGTCCTCAATCTACCAATGTGTATGCGAATATTTAAACAATAGTTAAACTTTCTATGTAAGTGTTATTTCTCTTCCTCGANCTTACATAGATAAAGAATGTGGCTTACACATCTCTTTGTACTACAATAGTAAAAGATGTTAGCATAAAGTCGTGATCTTTTGATAAAGCTATAATAGAAGATCCTCTAAAGCATGCAACCTGCAATGCTCATTTCTAGACGTCTATAAAAGGAAGTTTTCCCACGCAATAAAAGTGAAGTATCCAAAATACAAGTGATTTTTGCGTGCTTGTGACAAAATCAGAAAAAAGCTTCTAAGTTCTTAGACATAGTTCATCTTCTAAACAATTTAGAGAGTGAATATTCTGTGTATCCTTCACTGTTGAGAAATTATATCGCTAGAACAAGAAACTTTTATTTGATATCCACTCTTTTGGGTGTGAACCTTGTATCAAATAACTTCTGTAGTAATAAAAATACTTGTAATCTTTATTGTAGAGTGGAACACATTGCAATTTGCAAGGGGTAATTGGACATAGCTCAAGTTTCAAATGAACTAGTATAAAATTTATGCATTCATGCTGCTGTCTATTACACGTCTGGATTTGCTCTTGACAGTAAGGTAATGAAAACATTTTGAATGCATTTATACAGAATCAGATGACCTCCATACATCGTCTAATGGACTGTTCTGCAAAAAGTTTACTGAAGTATTGTTAAAGCTCTATCCAAACCTATCTCGTTTTATAGAGCTAGCTTTGTCTTTCACTCAAGTCAATGAGAAATCTCCAAAACTACAAATAGTTGAAAGAACACAACGTTGAGTTCACTAATCTAATATCAAACAGGATACGTTAAAAGTCTGATCAAGGTAGATATACGCTGAAGTTGTGACCTACAAACGGCTATAAACCAGTTCACTTCATACTTGTAATTGTAGCTACATCTTGCTTCAGGAAACGAAGCTATCACTAACAGTAATGAAAGAGAATTATGAAGTAAGATATACCTTTTCTTCAGAGGTACTCTTGAGAAAACACAGAAATGCCTCTGAGAACTGAGAGCCACAGGAACCAGTTCGCAAATCAGCAATGCAGGGGCATTCGAGAGCTTTCTGAGCCATTGCCTCGATGGACTGAAAAATCCAGAATTTTCTATTGTTTTCATTCATTCACTCAATTTCACAGTTGAAAGCAAATAACCAAAGCAAGTTAGTGCAAACCTCAGTATGTTGACTTCCATATTCTGCAGCTTCTGCAATGTTAAAATAAAAACACGACACAAATTGAGATTTCGTTTCAGCCGCACATTTACACAAACAGTTGAAGTACGCGAGGAATGAAACACGGAAAAACAACCTGCGAGCGCGGATTCCAAGGAAGTTGGTTTGGAGGTGTCGGTGGTGATGATGGTGGTTTGAGTCTCCGCCGCAGCTTCTGCGCTTTCAATTTGACCCATCGTGAATCCTAATTTCTGAACCTCTGGTTTTCTGGTGCGTTAAAAATTCAAACTTTGAAGCCAATTCTGAATTGGTATCTCCTCTCTACACGGAAAGTGAAATTCTGAGATTGCTTATCTATAAACTTAATTGTAATTAGTTATAGTCTTCTATGAAATTGTACTTATATAAATGAATAATTAGCATTTTAAACAATTAACATCAACTATAAATAGTTTATCATTAATTTACGAGAGAGTAAAATCATGAAAGCAACTTAATCATAAAAATGATAAAAGGAACTTAAGAATTAAAAAAATAATAATTCAAATTAACATATTGAAAAATTAAACAGTTCACCAACATGAAGAAATGCATTTCATTTCTCAAAGTAAGTTTAAATATCCTTCATCTCAATATGTAAGTGATCATTTTGGTCTATAAAATTGATTAAGTTTTAAATATATAAAAAGCGTGACAATTGCATATAAAATTAGTAGAGTCGTTTTGTTATTAATGTTTAAAATCAATTTGATACTAAGTTGTATTCCTTTATATATAATATAATAGTACAAAATTTAGGGATTAATTTGTCATTAAATATATAATAAAACATAAGTATTGTATTTCTTTTTTCTTACATGCTAAAAACTAAATCAGACTTTTGGCTCTTTCCCTACATTACCGTTGTTTATTTATCAATTAATCATTTCCCCAATCAACAATTTAAATTTAAATTGTGGAATGTTGGTAAAGGAATGGGGAGCAGGGTAAAATTTAGAGAAACCTATAAAAAAGTGATTTTCAGAAACGCGTTATACACGTTTGGAATAAAAACTTTTCAATCTACATGTTCCAAGACAAAATCTAGCATTTCAGGATGTCAGTATTATTAAATTAAGTTAAAAAAATGATTGCTTATACTATCATGGAATAATAAAAAATAAAAATAAAATATTTTATTGTGAAAATAATTAAATTCATGCAAAAAATAATAATTAATTAAATTACAATTTATAATATTACAAAAATATAAACATAATCTTTTTTACTTTTCTAAAAGATTTCAAAAAAAATTCATACTGCTTTTTCACAAATATATCTTACTATACTATACCACTTGTTCATCACAAATGATTAGTTTGAGTCATTATTTCCCCGCATCACGCGATTAAAGAGATCTTTTTCCAAATCCTCGCACACATACCACCAACAATAAGAAATACATTCATGTTTAAATATCACAACAACCAACCAAAAACATAGCCAACAACACCTATTATTCAATAATAATCACAAACAACTCAATCAAACAATACACATACAAAAGAAAACAAGAAAACAAAAATCAAGAAATAAAAAAAAATAAAGAATGTAAGTTCTCCCTTACAACATCGTCATAAATTGATTAATGCATTCAGAACAATACCAAAACAAACAACAATTTTACTCAATTATTCATGTATAGATACAAATAAGACAAGAAAAGAAAAAAAGAAAACAAAAAATTAAGAATATAAACTCTCTTTACTTAGATTTTCTGCTAAGATTTTTTTCCTAGAATAAACAATGTCTTTCAAGAACACCCTAAGCTCTAAGAGGCTTTCACTCAATCAAACTCTCACTTTCACTTTTACCCTCAAAGTTTTTGTCTCTTCCTAATGGTCACGTGTTTAATATAGTACCAACTATATGAGACTAATTTTTCTTCAATATACACATAGGATATTCTATTTATAATAAAATAAATGAGTTAAGTCCAAGATACCAATAAAGAATAATAAGAAACTAACTAAAGATAAAAGATAAAAATAAGATATATGTCTAAGATATCTAATAATAATCCATCTAACAGAAGACATATCTAACCCAATTAGATTTATTTTATAAAAACAAGCTCATTATTTTCATAATATAATAAAATTAATTCTAATAAATCTCTAGATAATATATTTTATCTTAATATTTTTATTCTAATTGGTTATGATAAGGTCTTAAATAATACATTTTATTTTCTTATTATTATCTAATAATAATATCTAATAATATGATATCTCAAAATATTTTTTAATTTGTAAATATATCGAGTATATAATAATATCTAAGAATATCTTTTAAAATATCTAATAATATATCTAATAATATATGATAGTAATTTTTCTTCACCAAACCTTAATTTTTAGAAAATCCTTTAAAATAAATCCTTTAAATAAAAATAACAAACTATTTTATCTTTTATTTAAAATAGTTAATCACATTTATATATTTTTCTAATTATTAAAATGTATAGAATCCCAGACCCTATAAAAACAAATTTCATCTCCTAAAATATACAAAAAAATGAAAATATCTTATTCTTATATTTTCATATGATAAAACCTAACAGAAATACTTAAAATTATAATAAACAACTCTAACCAACTGAAGTACTGTTCACTCTTATAATAATTATATTTTCTTATTTTAAATAAAAATTCTTATAACTATAATAATTTTCAAATATTTAATTTTCCTTAAGTCTTACACAAAACATTATTTAAAGATTCCATTTAAAAAAAAATGCAAGATGCGTAGTTTATTTAATCAGGCATATTTAAATTTCATACGATTTTAGTACCTGTTTGTATATTTATTTTATAATAATAATTTTACAGATTTAAATGTATTTATCAAATTGTGCAATTTTGACTTAAGGTCCTCAATCTACCAATGTGTATGCGAATATTTAAACAATAGTTAAACTTTCTATGTAAGTGTTATTTCTCTTCCTCGATCGCATTACTGAAAAGGATTTGTCTTATCGTGGTATTTTTAAATGCACACTTTATTTTTATTTCGGACGTTACTTTTAACACGGCATCAGGTTCTTGTTATTTACGCCAAATCGTCGTTTTAGAGAATAATTAATATTTTTATTATCATATTTGATACTTTTTAGCGACCAAACTACATTCCCAGATATTTCTGTTAATATATATATATATTAATAATAAGAATAGTATTAGCAGTAGTTATAGTAAGATTAATATTGATAATAATCTCAAAGCAATCAATCATGTTCCAGTTAATCAAACAGGACTAGAATAAGAGAAAATTGGAGTTCTGGACTGAGACATGCAGAGTTTTAAGAAGATGCAACTACAAATTTTCCTTTGCATGGTATCTATTGGAGAGAGTGAGTGAATCAGTAACAGAGAGAAAGTAGAGTTGGAGAAGATGACTGAAAAAAGGAAAACAGATAAGAACAAAATACAGCACAAAAAGTTGCTAAGGCATTGCCAGATACAAACTTTTCACCAAATTTCAATTAGTCAAACAGTATGTGCCGGCCAGAGTTTTGGATGAACCTATCACAATCCTCAAACTCATTGAAATTCCTTAATTAAATCAAAAACAGTAAGCAGATTTCATTCGCCATATAATACAAAGGAACAAGTTAACCACCCAACATAAAGAAGAGACATTATCGTCTCCTAGTTGCCTATGTAACCAATATTAAACATCAATAAAACATCACATCTTCCAAACGAACAGCACACAAACAATTAGAAAATTCCCTTATTTGTCACCACTAGGAAGCATCACTGCACCATGCTTTATTTTTAAATTCTTTAGGAAAAACTTGTGAGACTTTATGGCTCATATGTCCTATACCCTCCTCCTATCTTTTAGTCAATGATCATACAGTACTAAGCTTTCAAAACCCTTTTCAATCTTTGCTCAATATCTCACAACAGCCCCTCCCATTACAATGATCATGGAACCAAATCCAACTTCAGATCATAGTTTGGACTGGTTTGAAGGTTCTGTTTCTTTCTTTCCACTTCCTCCATTCTTAGACGATCCATATAACTGTAGTGACATCCAACTGTGGGATCAAGACATAAGCAGCCATTATCAAACTGATGCTAATACCAGTTCCCCTAATGCCACCAACATTGCAACTACCACAACACCCCCTGAGCCTTGTGCTTCTAACAACCTTCCACTCTCTGATTTGCCCAAGAAAAGAAGTGCCACTGATGATTCAAGTCTCGGACAACCACAGAACCACAAGCACAAGAAAATCAAGAGCAAACCATTGAATAATGAAGCAGATAGTGGAGACGCAGAAGGGACAACCACAGTTAGAAAACCTGGTGGGAACAAGAAAGGTGCTGCTAAGGGTGTGGCAAATAACTGCAACAATAAGGAAGGAAGGTGGGCTGAACAGTTGCTCAACCCTTGTGCTGCAGCCATAACTGGTGGAAATCTGACCCGTGTGCAACACCTCTTGTATGTTCTCCATGAGTTAGCTTCACCTACGGGTGATGCTAACCACAGGCTTGCAGCACATGGTCTTAAAGCACTGACACACCACTTATCGTCTTCTCTAGCATCTACCTCTACAGGGTACATGACTTTTGCATCTACTGAGCCACGGTTCTTTCAAAAGACACTACTCAAGTTCTATGAGGTTAGCCCTTGGTTTTCTTTTCCAAACAACATAGCAAATGCTTCCATCCTTCAAGTTCTTGGGGAAGACAATGACAATTCGCGCACCCTTCACATCCTTGACATTGGAGCCTCTCATGGCATGCAATGGCCAACATTTCTAGAGGCCTTGAGTCGCAGACCTGGTGGACCTCCTCCACTGGTTCGCCTCACTGTTGTCACGGCTTCTTCCACTGAAATTGACACCCCATTTTCTATTGGTCCTCCCGGTGACAACTTCTCATCTAGATTACTTGGTTTTGCTCAGTTAATGAACGTGAATTTGCAGATTAAAAGGCTAGATAATTGTCCATTACAGACACTGAGCGCTCAAAGTGTTGACACCTCCCCGGATGAAATCTTTGTTGTTTGTGCGCAGTTTAGGCTGCATCAGTTAAGTCACAATAGCACTGATGAAAAGAGTGAGTTTCTGAAAGTGCTGAGGAACATGGAGCCCAAAGGGGTGATACTAAGTGATAACAACATGGAATGTTGTTGCAGTGGTTGTGGGGATTTTGCCATGGGGTTCTCTCGAAGGGTGGAGTACTTGTGGAAGTTTTTGGACTCGACAAGCTCAGCGTTTAAGGGTCGTGACAGTGATGAAAGGAGAGTGATGGAAGGTGAGGCAGCAAAGGCATTGACAAACCAGCGAGAGATGAATGAAGGGAAGGAAAAATGGTGTGAGAGTATGAAAGAA